ATTGCTCTGTTTGTGCCGGGGCACCGGATCTTTGGGGTGAACCAGCCTTTGCCGTAATGTGTTTTGAGGTTTGAAAGCCACTGGGACATCATGTTTAGAAAATAAATGTCTCAGTTTCTCCAAAACWCCCGCAACAAACGGAATAACCACTGGTTTGGGGTCTTCATTTTCACCTGAAGGTTGCAAGCTATCATATCGCAGCACTGAAGTCCTATTTCCAGTCATTTCTGTTGCCTAACCCACAAATAATATTYCCCCTTATTAAGACCAGTCTTCGGTCTCCAAAAGGTCCACTGGTTCTGGTCCTAAAAAGGTAACAAAAACCAGGTACACACACAGCTGGGTTTTCATTTTCAACTCCAATATTATGACTTTATTCTCGTAATAATAATAAATCTCGTTGCGTGGCCCTAAACTCAGTTGTATTATTTCATTTTACTTTTATTAAAGTTTTCAAATATAAATGGCCTGTTTTTAATGGTATAATAATATATGACATTTATGATGAACTAAAAACTGACAGGAACACGGTTTTTGGAGCACTAAACAGCCAATGGGGACCTCCACCCAGGCTTAGGGTATATTTAGAACAGTCACGTGACTGCGTCAGCGCCATCAACGAGCCTGCTCTGGGTTAGTTGTGTTTAAACTTAAATAAATTCAGAAAAAATAGCCTAAAACTCCACCAGGACGACCACAAGACATGGTGCTCCAGTACTTGTATCAGGATGCAGCATCATTCCCACGTGGACGGAGTATTTTTGTCACTTTTCCCAAGCTAAGATGGAGGCTAACGGCTTGATTCAAGCAAAGAGCTGAATTTGACCAGAAAAAAACAAAACAGGTTGGAACCATGGACTCAGTCTTCTCCAAACAGTTCATCTGAGGTGAAAGACCAACACTAAACCACCTGGATCCTGTCTTTTAACATTCAGTCCTGAACAGGTAAAGTTATCTTATTGTTTTTACTGTAGCCTACTGCTAGCTGTAGCATCTATGCTAGCTCCCAGACTTGTAAAGTAACATATGTACTTTCTACTCCTTACATTTTTTAAAAGGTAAGACATGGAAAGTATTTACTCCTGTTTTATTCCAGCTGGTTATTGTTAAAAACTTACTACCCAGTGAATGTTGCCTCCTGGATAGTGAATTTAATCGTAGTAAAGGCCCTACATGCTTAGTTATGCCAACTTATGAAACTTATAAAAACATGAACCGGAAGTCTTGTTTAACCGTGTACATAGTATAATGCTAACAAACTGATCAAATAATTAACTTTTATCTGTAATTTAGATGTAAAAAAAATGAATAAGTTGGCCTTCATATGAGAAGTATAAATATATACTATATTCTGACACTGTAGTAGTTTGTACACAATCCATCACAGCTGCACTACTTTAGAAAAAAAAGTTTTTTTGGAGAGGTCATCTCCCAATAAATGTCATTTTGGAAAATCTAACTGCTCATTTTTACTCAATTCTTTTACTTTTAATGCTTAAGTATATTTTATGTGTTTTATCATAATTGACCAACTCAAGGCAAAATCCCTTAATTATTAAATGGACATGACAAATATTGGTATTGGAATCTGCGATATTAGCCCAGTATTTACTTGGTATCTGATTGATGTACCCCAGCCCTCTCACAGGGCTCCTTTCAGTGGGGGTGGGGGGTGCTCACACAACGGTCATGTCATTGCTCTCAGTGT